CACACTCATATATATATATATATATATATATATATATATATATATATATATATGATTTATTTCTACACATATTTTTTAATTGGTTTCACCCCATGCAAGGCAGTAAAGTCACTAAGACACAAGGGGTTACAGAGTGTGGAATAATAAAATAAATCAGAAACATTAATATGTGGGAACTGGAAAGAGTAATCAGGAGGACAGTTGATAGTGATTGACATTGCATTTAAAGTTGGCTGGAAAACATGGAGCTGGAAGGGAGTTCCACAAGCAAGAAGTGTGAGAAAAGAAACTGTTAGCATAGAATTTATAGTTACATTTTACCAGTTCAACTATAAATTGATGGGACCTCGTTGTTAGTATAGGACTGCGCTTAAATTCAAAAAGTCTAGGTACCATTGTGAAGAAAAGTCTAGGTACCATTGTGAAGAAAAGTCTAGGTACCATTGTGAAGAAAAGTCTAGGTACCATGGCAAAGAGCTCAGCCGAACAGTTGCCATGAAAGTATTTATAGAAAAAACACAGGTTAACAACTTTACGTGGGAAAGTGAGCGAAGCCGAATCGCCAGATCAGGACCAATAATATGGCTGGTTCTTCTTTTGATTTTATCAAGGTTTTCTAGATATATAGCGGGAATACCAGACCATATATGGTAAAAATATTCTAAGCATGGACGAATTGTATAGTTGTAAATATACAAGATAGATTCAGTGGAGAAAAATTGTCTAGCACAGCGCTTCTTAAACTTTTTTCATTCATGACCACATTTTTCATGACGAGATTTTTCGGGGCCCCAGGTATTAACCAACTACACTAAAAATCCATCCGTTGTCATTATCAACGCGCATCTGTGGTGCATCACGTTAAATATTGTGCATTTGTGAAATAACACAGAAACAGAAATTCAAGTGTTTAAATTTAATTTTTGTGACCCTAGCATTTCGGTTCGCGACCCCAAATGGAGTCGCGACCAATTGCTTAAGAAGCGCTGCTTTAGCACACCACAGTGAAGAAACTTTCTTAGCAGCTGACCTAACAATGGATTTAATATATTATTTTACTTTCATTTTCGTTTTTCTGATTTTATTGTCTTTATGGCAATCTAAATAATTTTGTTTTACATAAAGTATGATTTTGGGTGTGATGGTAAGATCAGTTTTATAGATTTAGACACTGTGCAGGATGTTTGTAAAGAGAAGGGCTGCAGAGAAAGCATTTGATTCGTCAAAGTGACACTGACACAGACTGTCTCTTTGTGGTTGATGGAAAGATGCGCGTGTGTGTGTACACAGGCGTGCCTTCTACGCTTCAGGGAAAAAGAGCTACATGCATCGAAATACGAATGTCAAATGATATTTGATACGATGCTTTTTTTTTTTTTTTCATTTTTATTTTATCTGAATCTATATGTCTCTCAGTGCAGCTGTCTCAGCCTAGTCGAATCTTCCTGCCTGTCATTCACTTCGTCGACATGTGCACGTACATACGCAGGCGTAGAAACACCAAGCTCTACCCACCGACATGGCTGGAGGCCTGCGATCGTTTTTCATTATTAATATAACATGCTTTTTATTTTGAATTTTAGACGCCGAGTTGATAGAAACAAAGAAAAGACTGCTGGATTGCTACGTGATATCCACCCTCTTCATATAGCAGTAAATTCTGAACAGTCCCTCCACGGATGAGGAGGTAACATAAATATGGTTCTACAGAAGGATGCTGAGAATTTTATGGACGGAGCGAGCAAGCAAAGAGGAAGTTTTAAAGGAAATGGCAAAAAGCAGAATACTGAAATTCTTTGGACACTTAATGAGGAAGGAGGGCTTGGAAATATTTGATCCTCACATGGTGTATTCAGGACAAGAGAGATAGGGGAAGATAGCAAATTATCTACCAGACCAGTATCTGTGGTGATTTTGGCAGCTTCGATGTGGCCCAAGGTTGATAGTATAGAGCACCCTGTGAGGATCGAACTCACTACTTAGTTATAATTGTTCTAGCGAGACAAGGTTGCTGTTACACAACGTATAGGTGCCTCTTGGCGAGCTTGTATGAATCGATGGTGGAACAGAGACGAGGGCCTTAGCAAAGACAAAAAACTGCTAAGGATCTTTTACAGCACATTGCCAAATGAAAGAATGTGTAGCGCCATTTTTTTTTCAAATGAGGCGGGAGTTCTTGTCTTTGGAATCAGATTTTGTACTCATGTGGTGAATACGTAATTATTTTGGCTGCTATAAAATGTTTTTGTGGTTTCTGACTTTCAACGTTAAATAAACTAAAGATTTCTCGTCACATAGAAAACCTGAATATATACTTTCGAATATTAAATAAGGCAAAATGAGCCTATGTATATAAGAGAATTGATGTCGTTTCGATGAAGCAGAAAAACATTCAAACGAGCTTTAATTAGCAGAACTGAAACTCGCTATTATTAAGCATTAGCTTAAAAACCGCACCTTGTGTGGACTTTTAAACTAACTCTAGTAGAGAGCTACTTAGACCTCCAGCCTAAAACTAAAGGGATCTCTGGTCCAACTTAAAAAACAGCAATGATAATTTTGAAGAAATAACTTTGAATTCCTCAATTCAATCCATGTAATTTCAAAACCTCATTTTAACTCTGATTCCGACTATGTATCCAGTTCTGGCCATAAAACCGCTTCGGTCCGAAATACCAATTCAGGCTGAAAATTGAGTTCCTCAGATCACAAACTTCATGGAACTTCAATTGAATTGAATTCTTCAAATTACAAACTGCCCAAACCTGCTTTCAATTTATCCAGTGTGTGTTAGGTTCTCCAAGCCGTCCTTCCTCATTTTGTGGGCCATAAATTTCAGATATTTCTTTTTGGTTCTAAATATGAGTAGCTTTTCTGCATCCATTCTTCTTCAAACCTCCTCATTAGCTCACAAACTCTGCCTGATATTTAAATAGTCTATCCTTTTTTTCTAACGAGATTTTCCTGTTTCCTCATACTTTCTTACTATATATATATATATATATATATATATATATATATATATATATATAGATAGATAGATAGATAGATAGATAGATATACTATTTACATTGCTCGGACTATCATCCTCATCTTTGTTGCCATATTTATCGCAACGTTTCGGCCGGTGTACGCTCCGGCCTTCTTCAGGTGGTTGTTGGACTGTCGAACTGAACCATGACACGTGGAACTAGAAAATTCTACCCCAGCGAGCGAAATAAAGGGTTCAGTTCGACATTCCAACCAACTGAAGAAGGCCGGAGCGTACAACGGCCAAAATGTGTGTGTGTGTGTGTGTGTTGTGCCACGAGCGTTTTCTCGTCAAAGTCTATCTTACGCATTTAAAAATCTACCATTCGTCTGTGCATTGAATACTGTTGCCATGTCTGGTCTGGTGTTCATCTCGAGGTTCTTGGCATCTCGACTTCAGTCACTTTCTCACCGACATGGCATGTCTTCCCACTGTCTTTTCTACAAATGTTTTCATGGCAACTGCACTGAGGAGCTTTTTTCTCTGGTGCCTCGACTATATGAATTTAGGCGTGCTACTATAATGGCATCTAGTCCCCACCCTTTTACTGTTGAAATAGTTAAATGTAACCGTCATTTCTACTCCAACAGTTTCTTTTCTCGCACTTCCCACCTGTGGAACTCTCTTCCGTTTACTTGCTTCCCTGATAACTATAATCTATAAGATTTAAATGCAACGTAAACCGCCATCTTCTGTTGACTTGAATCCCGTTCATCTTTTATCCTTTCCTCAAACCACCCTATACCCATTAATTGTAACGATTTCCCGAATGAGCAAGCCGATAGACGTAATACACACAGCTTAATGAATAAATAAAATAGTGGGGTTTATTTCAAATACGAAGTGTCCACGAAAATAACTTTTGAAATTATATATACATACATATATATATATATATATATATATATATATATATATATATATATATATATATATATATTATTATTATTATTATTATTAATTAATTAAAGAATATCAAACACTTAAAAATCCATAGGTAATAATTTTATTTCATGAGTGCTCTAAAAACAGCAGCACTATATATATATATATATATATATATATATATATATATATATATATAGTGCCATTTTCACGACTCAAGAGATCTTTAAACTAGATGAAATTGCCAATCACAATGCAGTATGTAGATCCCTATGTTTGCATGATATATATTTTTTGATGGTCTCTCTTATTTTTAATATTGAGCACCTTTTCTGATAAATATACCAAATTATAAACGATACACACACGCACGCGTACACACACACACACACACACACACACACACATATATATATATATATATATATATATATATATAAAATATATATATATATAATAAAAGGCTTAAACACTAATATTAGTGTTTAAGACTTTTATTATATCCTTACTCTGTCCTGGACATTGAGTTCTACCTGGATTCTATCCTCTTGGATTTTTTTATTCAAAAAATATATATGTATGGGTATGCATGTTTGTATATATATTTATATATTTTGCATATATATGTGTATATTTACCACTAATATTATCTATCTATCTATCTATATATATATATATATATATATATATATATATATATATATATATCTAATATTGGTAAATACACACACACACACACACACACATATATATATATATATATATATATATGCTTGTGTGCATGTGCAGGCTTGTTTGAATACCACCGCAGGGATTTTATTATCTATATTTTTCTACAGCTCATATTTATGGTCATATAAAAGAAAATGTTGACACGTCATCACAAATTGATACGTCAATCCGAGATATTTGAAAAATGAACTCGACATGACATCAGCTGACGTGTGAAGACACGACAGTAAGAAAGACAATTTGCTGGTAAGAGGTCGATTCCTACCTTTCCCAAGGCCATTTGTGCTTAGGTGAATATAAAAAACCTGACAAGAATTGGAACTCCCCTATTTCCATTTCCGAACGTTATCCACTACAACGCATGGTATTCCCAAGCGACCAACCATCGTTGTACTGACCAGGCTCGACGTTGCTTAACGTAGGTGATCTTACGAGAACCGGTGTTTCAACATAGTATGGCCATAAGCCCTTAGTAAATGATGTAAATAGTGTAGTAAATTAGGGTTTAATATTTTTGTTGCAAATTCTCAAGAACCCCCCAAAATGTATAAATTCACTTGTATCATACTTTCAGCTTTTATTACAATTCTCATCATAGCTTTATAAAAAAGTAAACATTGCCGAGGAGTGAAGGTAGTTAAAATAATAGCGGTGTCTAGGGAAAAACGGTCTTTTTGATACTCCGTCTTATTGTAGCCCCGAAGGTTTCATTTCAAGAATAAACTTAATATTAAAATAAAATAATATTATATTCATATTAATATTTAGACAAATGTTGAAACGAATCATAAAATAAGAACGATGTCTTCAATAGACAAGACCCATACATACTCATATAATCAAATTAAAATCTTTAATAAGGTACGACTTTTAAAGTTGTGACTTTTGACAAAATCAGCTTCCTACTTTCTGTTAAGGATTGAGAACGATGTACGCTATAAATATGTAATTCGAATTTCAAACTTCACACTTTACTAACACTAGAAGTCTGCGGTAGCACTCGATCGAAGCATACTCGCTACCGAGGTCAGTCTGTCTTAGTTCCGTAAAAGTACCTGGTACCCAGCGCAGAGAAAAACATCTACGAAGTAGAGAATAAAAAACAGAATGCTCCCAATTCCCACAGACCGAGTAATGGGCGATACATATAAAAGTCTCCGTGCATGCTGGTGCATCGGTACAGGCATGCGTAGTTGTTTACTTGAGAAGAGAGAAAGGAAAAAAAAAATAAGCTTAGGTAAGTTTTGTCTGCAAAAAGCGCCTACGAAAGTTGTTTATACACGCATTTCCAGAGGTTGGCGCGCAAAGTTGACAGACGGAAGGTGAAAGGGATAGAGATATGCAAAAGCAAACGGATTAGTATCCTTGATTTTTGCTGCACATGAACCGTGCGCTGTGTGTGTGTGTGTGTGTGTGTGTGTGTGTGTGTGTGTGTGTGTGTGTTCGCGTTCCTGCAGAAGAGAAGCAAATAACGGGGGAAAAAATGAATAAATAAATAAAACAAAGCTGAAAGATATTATCAAGGCTAAACATGGCGTGTGTGCTCCTGTTTAATATGCGCATGCGTGTTTGTGTGTGCGATCGGTTACTTGTACATAGCAACATTTTCGCGCCTGTATTCCTCATCGTCATTCGTGCGATCTTCGGCACAGACGTGCGCGTAATATTTTATGCACGTGTCAATAACGTTTTAATGTCTTTCCGTTTCAAAAAGGACTCTGTAGATTAATATTAACTGAGTCATTTAACTTACTTTTTTTGTTATTTTTTTGTTTTTAGAACCACGGATGAATTTTTCTTTTATATGCCGTGTCGCTTCAGGTCATAGACGATCATGATTCTCCACAAGTTCCTATATGTGTAGCCCGAAGCAATGTTGTTCCCCTTTATATCATTATAATCCTACTATACTTTTTCAAAAACTCCTTATCTAGGTTACTCCATGTTTTTCCTCTACTCCCTTTGCTTTCTTGTGAGAGTCAAATTTTACAAACCCACTTTCCTCTGTCTCAGAAATTTCAATTGTCTTTCTGATTCTAAGGATATATATATATATAAAGCTGTCTGCGTGCAATCTGTGGAGTTAACCTTCAAGATAGGACATCTAACGTAGAGCTGTTTAACAGATGTAATATAGGAAGAATCGAGACTTTTCTCATACAGTCTCAGTTACGACGCACTGGTCATGTCTTGAGAATGTCTGATGACAGGATACCCAAGATCCTAATGTACCGCCAGTTAGAGCAGGGCTACAGGAATGTAGGACGCTCATGGCTTAGATACAAAGACAAGATAAAAAGCAACTTGTCAGCTATCAATATACCACATAACACCCTTGAGGACTTAACCTTGGATCGGGTAGAATGGAGATCAACATGTTTTAGTGGACTCAACAGTTTTCAATCTGCTTGTCTGAATCACCTTCAAGAAGCGAGAGCAAGAACTAAAAGGTCAGCTAATCTAACAGTGATCTCATCTCACAATCCTCACTCTTGCTCCATATGTGGCCTCCTTTGTAAATCACTTGCGGGTCTTAAGTGCAACTTAAGATTATCGCACAAAATTTCATAACTGAATCAACTAAGCTGTCAGATCCTCATACGCAGAAACCGACGGGAGAGTCCATTATATATATATATATATATATATATATATATGACTTGCCTCAGATCTCTCTGACACGAAGTGTGTTGATGCCCAAGCAAAGTTGAATAGCGTCTTTGGATACAAATATTTCCCTGGTTCTCGAAATAGACGTATATGATCAGTTTCATTTCCTAACGTGACCAAAGCAATTTTTAAGGAATGGTATGGATTTTTTTATTTATTAATCCGACAGATGTTATTGCTTAAACATTATTTTCAGTATATACCCTTATTTGAGTAGGCGCCCCGTTTATTTATTAAACAGTATATTTCTTATTTTCATCAACTGTTGGGGTTGGCACAAAATGATTTTAAACTGTTTTTTTATAGCTGAATAACTCAACTTTCGATCCGTCCATACTGATCATATGGAATATCATATATATATATATATATATATATATATATATATATATATATATATATCTACATAAATAATATATATGTATTAATTTTACATGTATATATATATTAATTTAGATATATATATATATATATATATTAATTTAGATATATATATATTAAGTTAAATATAAAACAGACAACCTCATATATATATATATATTAATTTATATATATATATATTAATTTATATATATATATTAATTTATATATATATATTAATTTATATATATATATATTAATTTAAATAGAAAAGAGACAACCTTATATATTTATATATATATATATATATATATATATATATATATATATATATATATATATATTACGCTGATGATGCAAGACTCTTCAGTAAATCGAATCAAGTTCTCTCAGTCACAGTGTGTTTATCTAAAAATAAACACCATGCGTCAAAGTCTTAGTGGTAGAATCCCCGACTGACGCCAATTCAGTTTCGATCCTAGCTAGAGGCAACCGGACGTCTAGCTAGGATAACTATATATATGTGTGTGTGTGTGTGTGTGTGTGTGTGTGTGTGTGTTTTTAGGCAGCAATCCTTCTTCCATGCTCATTTCATTGAATACGACAGACAAGGTGCTTTTATGTAGTTTTTTATACAGTTTCTAATGCGATCTAATAATTTTTTTTTGCTTTTCGGATGATAAATTATATAAAAACTGTCCGAATGAACTTTGAACACGGACACAATATTCTGACCGTGTTTTGAAAAATGAAAAAATTTTATAAAACATACATACAACAAACTATTTTTTATTTAACAGTTAAAATATTTAATTCTTGAAAATGACTAAATATATAGCCGAAAGCGCTCGCATAAAAGAACAGTTTTTATATAATTTGTCATCCGAAAAGAAAAAATTATTAGATCGCATGAGAAATTGTATAATCTATATATATATATATATATATATATATATATATATAAATATATATATATATATATATATATATATATATATATAAAAATAAAAAACTGACAACCTTATATATATATATATAATCCCTGATTAAATATCTCTTTATTAATTGTGATGAGCTCATATAATAACCTTGAAATTGGAATATTTTAATTGTAACTCTTTGTTTATCTGTCTAAGCAAGAACGATATTTTGAAGGACACCTGTTACGCTCTATATACAGGTTGATCGATTTTTCCAGCAACATGTGGCCCGGTACACCTTTTAATGGAGACATTTTTACGATCGCACGGCCCATCTGCAAGCCCACAGTAGGACTGCAAATTGCTCAAAGTTTTTTATTTTTGCTAACTCGAGTTGATTTTCTCTCTATGAATTATGGGTATACAATTTACCCACAAACCCTCTACCCTTTATCCAACGCAGCGAACATGGACTACTGGACTGTAAGAAGACTAACTACTTTTCACTTGTTTTAATCAATTCACTCCAAAGAAGACGATAATGCCACTAAGATGCGAGGGGCTACTGGGAGTAAAAGTGAATGAAAAAACTGCAGAAGGAACCGGAAACCCAATGCTAAACGGGAAACAAAGAATAAACTTTTACTTATGTTCAAAGACCGGGGAGGAATGTGATCTGGATGGTTGGCGAACTTATCTACTCTTATTGAGGAATAACTAAATAATAACTAATATATATATATATATATATATATATATATATATATATATATATATATATATATATATATATATATATATAAAGTTGTAGCTTCTGTCTCCCTTTTCCTTTATTATCGAACTCTTCCTAGGTTTTTGGAGATAGACCTCCATAACAACATATATTCTGAAACTACATTACTTAGCGTTCCTGGATAAGTATATCTCATTTTGATCAAAGGGGATCCACACCCACTGAATTCTTTTTCCCTTGATATAAATTAAATTTAAATTTGGACAAGGGAATGACTCCTATGGTACTTGGATGAGCATATTTCGTTTTGATTAAAAAGGGTTCTGGGAGGCGGTGGGGGGTGCTCACAAACCAGCCACTGATAATTTTTCCCTTTGATATAAATTAAATTTAAATTTGAACAAGAGAATGACCCGTATCTAAAATATAGAAGGAGAAAGCTAGAAGATGGAGGTCACATAAGCAAGATCATTGATTAATATTGAAATGCATAATTTTTCTCTACAAATTTAAAATCAATCATCATTTTCTTACAAAAAAATGTGTGACATGCAGCAAGGCGCGGGGAATTTGTCTAGTAAATAATATTTTAAAGTTTAGGCGAGTATGTTGAAAGTAGAGTGTTGAAGTAGACTTTAGAAGGAACCAAATGTATACATGAAGCCTATGATCATTTATGCTCATTTATATGCCGTACAGCATCAGGACATGGGTGATCATGCCTCTCTACAAGGTCCAACCCTTATTAGCACTAAGCAATGCTTAGTTACGATTCATCTCAG